AGGGGTGACAGTGGCGATACCAGGAGGGAAGGGGGGTGTAGAAAGGGGGAATTGATCACAGGGAGCTACATATAACCTCCTCTCTGGGGGACGGGCAACAAAGGGGTAGGTGAAGGGAGATGCCAGGCAGTGTAATATAAGATATAATAATAATTTGTAAATCAAGGGTGCATGGGGAAGGGGGCAGAGGAAGGGAGGGGGAGGGGGGAAAGGAAAATCAGCTGATTCCGGGAACCCAAGAGGCAAGCGAATTTTGGGAATGATGAGGGCAACAAATGTATAGATGTGCTCTACACAATTGATAATATTTCTATAGTGAGCCAGAGAACAAGTCACACCAGCTCAGTGATATCCAAAATTAAGCTCCCTCCCTGAGTCTAGGATCTGGCCATCTTGTCACATGTGTACTCCCAATACCTCCCCTTCCTATTGCGTGGATACCCCTCTATCACCCCCCTCCCATTACTGTATTACCTATAGCACACCCTTTCCTGTGACATATGTCTTCACCTCTAATTAGAGGGCTTGCAAGTCACCAGAGAATTTAAATGCCAAATGTCTCTCTCTCTCTCTCTCTCTCTCTCTTTCCACGTGGACCTGTGAGCATGCTACCATGAAATGTATCTGACTCCATTATTTTGTTCTCTTCTATCTCTCATGCTCTCTACAACTTTACTCTAATCTTTACTTATTATCGCTGTACAATTGCACCTACCAGACCCGTGATGATGTGTTAGGCACTGGGCTACCAGCTTCCTCTTTCCTTCTCTTGTTCCCGCCATTCTTTCAGAGTAAACACCTGCTGATGTTTCCCAAGGGTCTAAATCAAAGCATCCCGTCTCTCAGAGGGCTTTAAATTCACACCTGTGCTCGGATGGTTGGGAGATTGTAGAAGGCCACTATGGTTCCCCAAAGAAGTTTAGGTCCAAGCCGGGAGCTGCGTGGAGCATTTGGGGAGGACTGCCTTAGTCTAGCCCTCAGGGTTCTCCCTTCAGAGAGGCTGCCTGTCTGGCCTCCTGCACGAACCTCAAGCCCACCTGGCCAGTGCGAAGACGGAGCACAATCCACCCCAACAGGCAACCCGACTGTAAGCCTACACCTACCTTCTCCATTTGTAAGGCCGTGGAGTTTGCTGCACCTAAAGTGACCATGGCGAAGGACGCGGAGATGCTTAGTGGGGAAAAGAAGATGTTACCCTCTTTCGATTTCCTCATCTGTTGGAACAGATCAAACCCAAAGCGGGCATTCGCCTCACTGAGTGACTCCATGGTGTCTTCGGGTGGTCCGGAACCCTGGGAAAACATCAGCGACATTTCCTAACGGCTTTACTGAACAATACAGGACATTGAACAGAATTTGTCTTAAAGGAGATGACTTATGCCTGGAGTGGGGCACTTTTGGCAACGACTAGTTTTCTTTTTCACTTTTCAAGACTTTCATAATGAAAATGGGCGGATTCATAATGAGTGATATTGCTATTTTTAAAAGAGCTGACACTGGAAGGCATCTCAACCCCCCATCCCCACTGATTTGGATCACTTGTCGTTCCCTTGTCCCTGGGTTTGTTAACACCACTATCCCCACCCCCACCCCCACCTCACCCTTACTAAATCACTGGAGAGACCTCAAGCATTCTCTTCAAGCGCCCTGCCCCCGAGTCTGTCTGGACTCATCGCTGCCCTAGAGGACAGGGTGGAACTGCCCCTGGGGGTTTCCCAGACCGGCGTCCCTCTTTACTGGAGTAGAAAGCTTCATCTTTCTCCCACCATGTGATTTCTGGGGCTGTTCAATTAAATCACCTTAGGAACCACTTGGAGACAGATGGCAGATGGGTAGAACTTGCAGGCAAGCAGCACTGAGAACCAAGGTACAAGGGGGCCAAAAGCCGCATGAGCGTGAAAACCCATATCCTGGAACAAGTGGGCCAATTGGACTTTAAATCTCCTCTAAAAGTTGTTTTACACAAAATCTAGGTCTGGCCATGGGCCACCATGCAGAAAGGCGGGGGCTTGCCCACCAAGGACCACAGCAAGAAGGCACGACATCCCATAATAAGCCTTACTGGCCAATACCAGAATCCCCTGCATCCAGGGTCCATCTTGAAGAATAACTGTTCATGCATCCTATTAGTAGAACTAAGCCTTAGACTCATTTCACTTTTGATGTTTGGTTGTGGCTTCTTTTCCTCCTCCTCCTTTTTCTTTAATAAAACTTTGCTCATGTGGAAATCCTGTGCGTCCGCTGATCATTCTTGGTCAGTAGAAGCCAGGAACCCTCCTTTCAAAAGCTAGTCTGGGGACAGTGCTGCCCCTTGCAACAGAGCAACGACTTGCTCCCCAAAGCAGCATCCCCTTCATATCTTTTCTTCCTCAATGGCTGCTCTACGTCTGGTAGGAAAGGTCTGACAACCAATGCCGAGGCAATGGTTCCTGGAAGATTGCATCCAGCCAGCTTTCAAGGAACCCCCTTCCCTGATTCCCACCAAGGTCAGGCAGTGTCCTCTCTGAGCTGCTACCAGGCCATCTGTTGCTCCAAAATAACTAGATTAGGTAAAAGACGAAAATCAAAGAAGCAGCTAGTTTAACTTTGCCAGGGCAGAATACAGGAAATTCAAGCACACAGAGGGAGATCATTGCAGGGTTTCAAACATAGTGCTATTACTATTTTACAAAAACCAACCCGTGTGGTTAAGCCAGGAGGTTGGAGGCACTTACCTGTGTTGCTGGAAGAAGCTGAGGTGGGCAGGGAGCTGGCAAAGCGGTGTGTCAAGAAGGGTTGAGACCCTGAATATATATACCTGGCTTCCTTGCTGCCTCTCCCTTGGGAATGGTGGATGGTATTTCAAGTAAATCAGCTTCTGATTTCTCAATGCAATTAATCCAACCCCAGTGACATCAATATTTATAACTAAAGGCATGTATGACTGTACTTCCTTATACAGCTGCTGAAAATTCCCTCTCTCAGCTGGGGCAGTTGGGTTATGATCACGTAGGAAACATCACGCAGTGGGGTGATTTTGTCGACGCCAATGAGCTCAAAGTTGCAATTCCAGCTTCTGCACATTCCCCTGTACTAGAGTGTAAATTTCTGAGCACTGAGTATGTAGAAGGCTACAGTTTGCAGTGGAAGCCCTAAGTCTATTTATGAGTCCAGATGTAGATTCAGACTGCAATGAATTCCTTCTGACCGTCAACCAGCAGCATGCATAGTTTTGCCCTCAGGCAGAGTACATTAGAAAGTGCATTACTATGGCACCACAGAGAGGGAGAGGCAATCTCTTCTGAAGGCCTTGCCTGGGCATGCTCCTGATCCGACTTCTGGGTACTAAGCTCACATGGCCATGAATCACTTCCTGACTTCCTTGGTTGGAGGTACCTGGATCCATCCTGTAAGCTCTGTTTTAATAACATGTATGCCTTATGCATCACATTCCTCACTTCTCTGATCCTGCTTGCCACTGTGATGTATTGATCTGCCACCAATTATGTTTTAGTGACATTTCCCTTGTCCTCTCATGTCCTATTTAAGTCTCTGGTTCTCTGTCAATCCTTGGATGCCATTACAACCTCGTGCTAATGATCTCCCAGATGACGTATCTGTTTTTGTCTTGTTTAAGACTTAATAAATGTTCTCCTTAGTTTATATTTGAGATTTGGGGTCTCTTTGGCACACTAGGATATCATACACTGTTCTCCCCTTCCCCAGACTTCCCAAGAAATCTTTCCTGTCTTCGATGTTAAATAGTCGTCAGGGTCATTTTGAGAACCAAACAAATGCTCACTTTTTCGAGTTGGAAGTCCTGACTTGGCCTTTCTGGTCCAGCCTGTCAATTCCAGGAGAATTATTCCCTGTGGTAGTCACATAATTTCATGTCAACTTGAAGATATATAAAAGCATCAGGGTGGTATTCAACCTGTCTGTCAGGTCACTGTCTGATATTGCCTCCTGTGGGCATGGCTTTCTCATATGAAGGGCCCCTGGGAACCTTTCCATTTGGCTGTGCCTGCACCTCTTTCTGCTGGCTGTCCCTGGTTGCTTCCAGGGCCCTGGAGATGCATCCACCATTGGATCCACAAGACTTAGCACCCACCGCTGTGATTTTCTTGCATTCTGTATCATTGAATGTATGGGTTAATATTGGACTTATGGATTCGAGTTGGATTTGCACTGGGGTGTTTTCTTGATATATAATTACTTCGTTATATAAAGCTCTTTCTTTCATACATACGAGTGTCACTGGATTTGTTTCTCTAGTTAACCCAGCCAAACACATTCCAGAGAATTATTAATTGTTATTACTTATATAGTTCTATTTCTAAGTTCAAAGAGTTATGAGGAGTTGTTCCAGCAAAACGCAGAACACAGGACTTGCCTTTCCCTAAAGGCTTTGCTTCGGGAGGACTCCTCCCTGTAACCTTCCGATTCCAGATGTTTTCCTGTTGATGACGCTCAGGGAAAAGCTGCTTTATCTCATCAAAGGCAACTAACAGGGGCCATTTTCAATGGTGGCCTTCTAATTTTGCCGAACCTTGAAAAGTGCAATAGAAAACAGGATCAGGCGTGTCTCTGTCAGCTTGCCCTGCTGTTTAGTACACCTGCTTCAGATTCCTGAGCTGGATGTCAGAGCCCACCGCCTAGACAGAAAGAATAATGACCGGAGGGGGCTGTTTTTTGTGTCCCCTTGTTGAGGCCACTGTTGCTGGGGCCCAGCCATATGCACACACATCCCAATCTTCTAGGTGGTTGCTCATTGGGAGAATGATGGAGCTTTCTGCCCCTGAGAAGAATTTGAGTCTTAGAAACTCCCGGGGCCAGTTCTATCCTGCCCCGGAGAGCTGCTATGGGCAGTGAGTTTCCTTTCTCGTTTGGTTGCTGCTTCTCGGACTCCGGCTTGTCTTTTCACTTTCTCCCCAGGGTCTCTCCCAGAGCAAACCTTGTACACTGTCGTGAAGGATATTGAAAATACCGTGGGCTGCCAGAAGAACAAACAAACCTGTCTTGGAAAAACTACAGCCAGAATGCTCCTTAGAAACAAGGATGGTGAGGCTTCATCTCCTGTACTTTGGAGGAGGCCCTGGGAGGGATAGTATGGTGGGTAAAGAGCAGGGTCAGGGAACAAGAGAAAACCCATCAAGTAGATGGATTAACACAATGGCTGCAGGATTTGATAGACGCCAATTGAAAAGATTCCACTAGCTGAAGTACTCACTTCCTTATGCCAAGAAATTTGGGGACAGCTATGTGGCCAACAGAGCATAAGACATTTTTATGTGTGCCTATCCTCCTGGACCCCACAAGAGCTGACCCAACAGAATGGAGACCATTTCAAAAAGGATAGCATTAGTATCATATTCAAGTAGAATGATGCTAATGATAATTAAAAATGGTTCCAACTGATCATCAACCAAAGACCACCAGAAATTCAAGCCAGGATCAGAAGAAAATGTGGCAGAAGGGATATCACTGCTGACATCGGGTGGATCTTGGCTGAAAGAAAAGAAGAGCAACAAGATGTTTAACTGTGTTGTATTGACTCTGAAAACGCATTCAAGTGGATCATAACAAGCTCTGGATATCACTGTGAAGAATGGAAATTCCAGAACACTTCATTGTGCTCACGTAGGAACCTGTACATGACCTAGAGGAAGTTATTTGAATAGATCAAAGGAAAATCAGCAACGGTGTGTGTCAGCAGTGCCTTTCACAACACGTTTTCAACTCGTATGCTGAGCAAATAGTCTGAGAAAGTCGAATATCAAAAGAAGGACACCGCATCAGCGCCAGAGGGAGACTTCTTCACAGCCTGTGATATGCGGGTGCCACAACCTTCTTGCTGACACTGAGAAGGTCTTGAAGCACGTGCTGACGACAATCAAAGACTGGAGCCTTTAGAACGGACTACAGCTCCATGGAAAGAACACCAAATCCTGGAAACTGGACCAGGAAATGGAGATACGATTGAAGTTCCAAGAACTTCCTCTTGCTTGGATCCGCAATCAGTGCTCATGGAAGCAGGCATCAAGAAGTCAAAAAGACGGATTGCATTGGGCACATGTGCTGCCCAGACCGCTTCAAAGTCGTCAAGAACAGGAGGTCACTTTGACGACGAAGGTACACTTGACTCAAGCCATGGTACTTTCTGTCTCCTCATCTACATGCGAAGTTTGACAACGAATAAGTAAGACTGCAGACGGAGTGCTGCTTTGGTGTTAGGATGCCGGCAAAAAGGACTGGACGTACTGCGTATTGCCAGAAGAAGCCATCTTTT